GCTCTGACTCATCCTTCTTTGTCTTCTCTCCACTTTCTAATCTGAGGGTTTGCAGCCTCTACCTATTGCGCGTTTTTTTCTCCTCGTCTTCCCAGAGTCTGCTGTTTGCCTGACATCGGGGTTGGGTTTTGCAGCCATGGTGTTGCCCACCCCTCTTGCTCTCACATCACCCCATCAAGACCTTTACTGGGATTCATTCCCCGAAACTTCTGAGCCCACAGAACTCCAAGCAGGACTTCTGTTCCTGTGTCCTTGCGGGAATGACACTAATGCCTGAAATGTAGGGTTCCAGAGGAGAAGCGTGCTCTGTGTAGCCCATGTGCCCTGGGATGGCTGAACCTTCAAGTTCAGGCAGTTTTCCAGAAGGAGTTTATTTGCAAACGTGTAGGTGTGCCTTCATTTCCCTGTTCTTACATGTGTCCATCTGTCTGATCTTTTTCAAAAAATTTTAATATTTTTTTGGGAAAGAGAGAGAGAGTGAGAGAGCAGGGGCAGGGAGCAAGGGAGAGACAGAATCCCAAGCAGCCTCCACACTCAGCACAGAGTCCGACACGAGGCTCAAACTCACCAACCGTGAGATCATGACCTGAGCCAAAACCGAGAGTCAGACGCTGAACTGACTGGACCACCAGGTGCCCCCGATCTGCCTGGTCCTACCCCCCACCCCACCCCTCAGGCCGCCAGTTCTGGAAAAGTTTTCTTGGTGTACGTCTTTGATGATGCTTTTTTCCTCCAAATTCTGCTGGTTCTTGGGTTTGGCCTTGATTCTAGAACCTCGAATTCTGACCCACGATTCACCATCTCCCATCTCTTTGTTCTGTTCTACATTCTGGAAGAACTTTTAAGTTTGTCTTCCACATCCCACATCTTTTAAAAACTCAGTGCCTGCAATGTGAATTTTCTTTTTGCTCAGACAATTTTAGTTTTCTGGAACTCTGTGCCTATGTGAACCAAATACAGTTTCCTTTCATATCTGCTCCCTCTTCTCTGGCACAGAAATCACAGCCTCTTGCACCATTAGAGAAGCCCCAGAACCTTCTAATGTTGCTCTCTCCTCTCCGTCTCTCTCATAACAACGTTCTTCTGCACCTGCAGGATTATTTCCCCGTTCTTAATGCAGCAGGTTTGTTTCCAGGGCCTCAGGGAGGATCCCCCCCACATGCTCTGCCGTGAACTTGCCTCGGTTTTGGGGTGACTGTCCAGACCCGGCACCTGCCTGCCTTGGGCTCTTCTCTGCCCCCAGGGACCCTGGCCTCTCCCTCCTCCAGCTGGAGGGCAGGCTTCTTCCAAAATGGCAGGTGCTCTCCTGTCCTCACTGACTAGCCCTCTGACCCTCCAACCAGTGGTTTGCAAGGTTTCAAAGTCGTGGACTCCCGTTGGTACAAAGATTCTGGGCGCGAACCCCTCTACTGTGTGTGTATTTATCGTACGTTGCACACAAGAGTTACCATCCACTCGCATGGTGAGTACTTAAAGGCTGAAGTTTTGTAATAAAAATGACTGGACAGAAGTCTTTCCCATCATCTCCGTGGGTCTCAGTGTGCATCCCACGCTGGCGGCCGCACCGCAAACCCCTGGGGGCCCATCAGAACCCACAGCCCCTTCTCAGCTCTGCCCACAAGGGCTCGGCCTGGGGCTGTGTCAGCCCCACCCAGGGGGCCCCCTAGACTGCGTCCCCACTCCTTTCTCAGCCTTGAAGCCCCCTGCCCGTGGTGGCAGGGGTCTGTGGGAGGGAGAGGCCGAGGAGGGGGCTGTCCTCGCTTCTTGGCTTCTGGCTGGCGCAGACCAGACCCAGGGATCAGACCAGACCTGAGACCCAGGCATGGGAAGGTTGGCTCTGTGTGAACGAGAGAAAGAATGGGCCACTGGTGGTTTCCGTCCGGTGCCAGGGGCAGGGCCTCCAGAATCCCATTTCTCACTGAAGCACAAGTGTGTGGAAAGAGATGAACGTTCACACCGTCACCAGCGAAGCCCTGCCGACAGGCTGGCTGTGTGCAGAACTCGGAGCCGGGAGGGAAGGTCCACAGGGAATCCGTTCAAGAGGCTGGAGGTCGGTTGCCAAGCCTTACGGATCCCGCCCACGTCATCCTCTGCTCGATCACAAGACTCTCTGCACTTCATCAATGTTGGAGCGTCCTTGTTGCCGTCCCCAGGGCGCTGGGGACGCCCGCTGGGGGTGGGGGGGGTGGGGGCTGGGCGGGGGGAAGGCAGGAAAGCCCACTTCCCGAGCCTGCGGCCCCTGAGGCCGGGCTCTCCCCCAGCCGGGCTGCTGGCGGCGACAGAGCTTAATGAGGAGGTTCCCACGACAGGCTCGGGGGAGGGCTGTGGGAGGCGGGCAGGCGGCCAGGAGAATCCCGGAGAACGCCCAGGCCACAGCTGTCAGGCCCGCAGCCGTGACGGAAGGCGGCTCCGGGTCCAAGGAAAACAAGCTGTTGCCGCTGCCCTGCCGGCAGCCAGGGGCAGCCCGCCCTGGGCGAGGGCCACCTCCGTCTCCTTCCTCAGAAGGAGCAAATGTGCAAACCCGTCCTTGTCACATAAAAGCCAACCTGAGACACGAGAAACGTCTTTTGAAACGCGTCTTGCCGAAGAGGGGTCTCCATAGCAACCCGGGAGCGTGTGTCCACGACGAGCAGGGGTCCGGGCCGACGACAGCGCCGGGGTGCGGAGCCTGCCCTGGGCATCGGCACATGCGTGGTTCTCTAGGACCGCCACGCTGCTCTGTGACCTCGGGCAAGCCGTGTGCCCCTGCTGTCCGCGGGGACAGAGGCGTCCCCGGGTCAGCTGGGCCAGACGGAGGTCACCTGCCGGCGACCCGATGCCACAGCCCCCAGGGCAGCCCAGCTTCGGGCCAGGCTCTGACTGACTGGCTCCTGCCCCTTATCTATGACCCGACACCGGGAAGGGCCATGGTCACTTAAGCTGGGCCCTGAAAGAAACTGCTTGGTCACGGTAAGAGGAGTGTTTCCCCGAGTAGGAAAAAGTGCACTCGTTTGTACATGTTGTCACAGTCCCGAAGGCTGGACTCGGGCAGGCTTCCCGCAGGGCTCTCCCGGGGCTGCTCCGGGTATCGGCACCCAGGGTGCAGGGCGCAGGCTGACGGCGGCCGTGAGGTGCCAGGGGTCAAAGGGCACCTCGGGCGACCCCTCGGGGAGCCCTGGAGCCCGGACGGCCCCGGGTAAAGGCGCTGGGCCTTTACAGGCCTATGCTGACAGGTCTCCGCTGGGGCTTTAACCTGGGCCAGGCAGCTCCCTCCAGCCAGGGCAGCTGTGGGGGAGGGGCAAGGCCTGACAACCCCCTGGGGGGAAGGACTGGCCGTGTGGGTGGCACCTCCACTCGGCCTGAATTTACCCAGAAGTCCCTCCTCACCCCCCTCCACCCCCACCCCGGCCAGGACCACGGTACAGGGGCAGGAGCGCAGACAGCAGAGGCCTGGGGTCTGACCTCCAGCTGAATGGCCATGACCCTCTGGGGTCGGGTCTCCTGGTCCCCGGGAGAGGCCAGGCCACAGGTTCCTTGCGAGGGCGAGAGTCGCCTGGGGTGGAGACGTACGTGGGCCGAGTTCACGCTCTGGGCCCACACGTGCCAGCTCTCCCACACCTCCACCCCAGGCCGGCGCTTTCCCCCAGCTTCCTCGGCTCCAAAGTGGGGATGCTCAACAAGCCGAGACCACGGAGACGACACACAGAGAGCTGGCGGCAGAGCTCGGAGCCAGGAGCAGCTGCCAAGGCTGGGCTGTGCCTCAGGTGCCATCGAGAGGAAGCCGTCTGGGCAAAGGGCCTTTTCACAAGAGGAGGGGGGGGGCCCTTTAGGAGGACTTGGGACTTGCTCACTGTAACTCTGTGCCTTTGCTGGGACCTCAGCATGTCTGCAGGCAGGAAACCAGGGGAGCCCGGCCCGGGCTCAGAAGGCTCGGTGGGCCATTCAATGCCAAATAAAAGGCAACAGAGCACTTTGCAAACTACGCGCTTATTTTTGAGTCAAAAATAGTCACGGACCCGTGGCAGGTTCAATTTGCAATGAAACTCACTTGCAGACGTTTTGTTCCCGGTTCAGCCCATTTGCTCGTCTAAAAACCACAGTGAGCATCACACGCACGCAGGGCTGATGCAAGGGTGTGGGAGGCTTCAGACACCTTAAAGGGCTTGGCGAACTCAATTACAGGTGTTGGAAGGCTCGGCTCCCATCAAGTAGGAAAGAAAACAGGGAAGCGTGGGTCCTCGTATGGTAGGAGCTGCTTGCTTCTAATTATATGAAGAGGCCACGAAATTCCCAGGAGTTGCCGAAAGATCCCCGTTACAACGACTGATTTCCACTCTCGCGGTGAGGCAGCGCATGGGCCCCACTCAGCACCGACGACAAGGCCTGGAAAGTAGGTGCTATGACCCCTGCTTGCAGGTGACAGACCTGAGGCCCAGAGAGGTACCGTGACCCGCACAATGTACAGCCAGGAGTACGATCAGGACTTTAGGGCTGGACCCAAGCCCTCCCCACGGGACTCGCGTCCCCCCACCAGGCGAGCTTGTTAACATGCAAATCCTGTCTAGTGGCTCTGGGTGAGGCCTGAGCCTCCACGTCTAACAGGTTCCCCGTGACGCGAGGCTGCCGGTCTGCGGACCGCTCGCCGCATAGCGAGGCTCCCACAGTGCACAGTGAAAAGGGTTTCTGGGTGAATACCTTTGAGAAAGTCTGGACTCAACAAAATGAAACCAGTTTCCTTATGGCGGGACTTCCCAAAGCCTTGAAAATGCCGGTGAGGCATCGTCAACATCCAAGAGGAAGAGACAACACATAACTGCAAGGTGTCAGCCGCGAGGACGGGCGAGGAACGCACCGGATTCCACGCGGGTTTACAGGGGGACACCGAGGACAATGCCCCGCGGCACCTAGCTTACCCGGTCTGTGGTCCGGCCCCGCCCGCTCCCCCCCACCCCCACCCCCACCCCCACCCCGGTCCCCCGGCCTCGCTGCCGCCCCAGCCACCGCGGAGCGCACGCGTGTACCTTTCGCAGACACGCACGGTCCAGGCGGCGATGATCCACAGCGAGATGCTGAACACCAGCAGCACGGTGCCAGGGCAGATGGTCATGAGGGTCTTCATGACGAAGCGGGTGTTGAAGTTGATTTTGTTGAGCGCCCCGATGCTGCGGGACGAGGCGTCCGTGAACAGCTTGCTGTGCAGCAGCATGACGCGGGCAATCAGGTACAGGCGCAGGAACATGGGGATGGACAGGATGATGTCCACGTCGGCCTCCGCCCGCGACGGCGTGTAGGAGAAGGCCAGGCGCGCCGTCCAGAAGAACTTGTACTCGCCGGGAACGGGGTGGATGGCGCACACCAGCATCTCCAGGCTGATGCGCAGGACGCGCTCGCAGGTCATGGCTATCCGCCAGTCGTCCGCGCCGTTGTCAATCACGAAGAGCTGGGGGGGGCAGAGAGCGCGTTAGAGGGGCCAGGGCTCGCCTGGGGCCTCCGGGGAAGGGCCGCGAAGGGGAAGAAGAGCCCCTCATTTATATTCGCAACAGGACGCTGGGCCCCTGCCAGGCCCTCGAGGGGACGCGGAGAGGAAACGGTGTTTCCTATGAGAGCGAACCCCCAAGGCTGGTGTAGACGATGCAAGCGCAGCCAGCACCTTGTCCCCATGACGCAGCAGAGTGTTTGCGTGGGGCCCTAGGGCCAAACTGGCTGGCTCCGGACCCTGAGCCCAACACTAACCAGCACTGGGATCCTGGGGACGCTAGTGAGCCTCGCTGTGCCTCAGGGTCCTCATCCGGGGACCAGACAGCACCTGCTATGCAGCCATCACTGGGAGGCTGTGACGGATTAGCCTACGCGACAGGCTTGGCCCCGAGCCGGCACCCAGGAAGCATTAGCGGTTAGGACTCTGGGCACCACAGACGGACGGGGTCCCGCCTTTGTGTAAAATGAGGGTTAGGCCCAGTGATGGCTGCGGACCTTGGGGCCCTCCCCCCGCTTGAAGCGGAGATTCCTGCTGCCGTGTGGCTGGGCCTGGCTGGCGCTGGGGTTCACATGTGGGGACGGCCCTGGCCCCGTTCTCAAGGACCGTCCCACCTGAGGACGTGAGGGTAAACGAAACAGCTCGGACGGAGCCCAGCCTCCGCAAGGGGCACCGGGAGAGGGCGCTGAGCCCAGCCGCCAGCCGGGACTCCCCTCCGGCCTCCCCCAGGGCAGCCGAGCAGGGGGCTCCCAGACGCAGGTTTCCAGAGTCCGCAGACACAGAAAGGCCCTAGTGGCTGCTCCGTGGGTGCCCTCTGCTCCTAAGTGCCACCGACAGGCCACGCCATGGCCGTGTGACTGCTGGCCGGACTCTTCCCACACAACGAAAACCATCCACCCTGTGACAACCAGCATCAGGTTACTATAGAAACTGGGTTCACCGTGGGCAGGAGCTGAGGCAGTGAGTGGCAGACCTCCCTGACTCCCCGGTGGGGAGGGAGACGGGACGCCAGCCGCTGGCTCTGCCCGGCTTGACAGGAAGGTGCCGGCCCCCCCCCCGGGGGGTACCACGTGCCCCTCAAGGGCCTGCTGGTGTCAGTTTTCCGGGGGGGGGGGCAGTGGGGGTCGAGGCCAGTGAGTGGCACTGGAGTGTCTGCACCCAGTTATTAGCTGTGTGACCTCAGGCAGGTCAGATCGCTTCTCTGAGCCGGTCTCCACCTCTGTCCCGGGACTGTTAGTGTTGACACTGCCCGCCTCGGGGGTCAGCGTCAGGATCCAGTAAGACAGATGATACGAGGAAGGGTGCATCAGCAACTACTCCACATACGTGAGGCATCCAGGCGGTCGGCCCGGGGGTGGGGGGGTGGGAGGGGCAGTCACACACAGCATGGGGGAGCGATGGACGGATGGACGGACGGCCATTCCCAGCTGCAGACTGAGAGCCTCTGCCAGATGGGGCTCCAGTGCAGGGACCCACAGGCTGCAGGGTGGCCAGTGTGTCCCAGGAGATCCCACTGCTGTCCCCCATGAGGACACCCTTACGCCCACTGCCATCTGACCCCTGGAGCCCCAGGACGGCCTCTCTGCTCCCAGACTTAGGAAGGACCCCACCCTGCCACGTTCTCCCTCAACTTCCTCCACGGCCCTTACAAACTGCAGATCTTGGGGCGCATGGGGGGCTCAGTCAGTTAAGCATCTGACTCCTGATCTCGGCTGAGGTCATGATCTCACGGTCTGTGGGATCGAGCCCCACATCGAACGCTGTGCTGACAGCATGGAGCCTGCTTGGGACCCTCTCTCTCCCTCTGTGCCCTTCCCCTGCTCGCACGCTCTCTCTCAAATTAAATACATAAACTTAAATAAAGTAACAAGTTGCAGATCTCAGTATGTACTCGACATGTTTACTCGGTCCTTGTGGGTCTCTCCCCCTGGGATGCTAGAACTGCTCGGACAGTTTGCTAAGGACACCCCTGCCCGGGGCCATCCAGACCAAGCAGATCTGGAGCTCTGAGTGTGAGGCCCCGGCATTGGGTGTTTTCTTCGAGCTCCCCAGCCGACCGAAGTGTCACCGGGCCGGGGGTCCGGCGATCCCAGCGGGAACTCCAGAGGGACAGGGGCTGTGTCCTCCGTGTTCCCTGTGACGCCTCTGTGCCCAGCGCAGCTCCTCACGTAGACCAGGTGTTTGATGACTGCTTTCTGTGGGGGCCGGTGTGGCTGAGCTCTCCCCTCGGGCTGGGTCTCCTCCTCTGAGGGCTGAGGGGCAGGTCAGATGGTCCCCCGTCTGGCTTGGCCCCCCCACCTCTCTCTCCTCCAGAGCCTGGGTAGACGGTCACTGGGACGAAGGGTGTGCAGGGAGGGGACCGTGTCTCCAGCACCTGGGTGGGTGGTCACTGGGACGTCGGTGACTGAAGGGTGTGTGTGTGTGGGGGGGGGGGGGACAGACCATGTCGAATGGAAAAGCGGGCAGACTGCCAATGTCCCTCGCTGACCACCCGGAGCGGAAGTCCCATGAGAAACTCACTCCTAAGCCTGAGACCAATGAAATACCTAATGATTCATCCGACGCCATGGGAAGGACACCCACCAATGCCCAGGGGTGGTCCAATCTGGAACAGAGTGTCCCAGGTGAACTTCAAGCCCAGAAAGTTCTGGAGCCAATCTGGAACCAGGATCTCAAGCAGCATGGACCAGAGGGGTGAGGACCCTCCTCCCCTGAGCCCCAGCCACGCACCCTGGTTCCGGGGCAGCCTCTGTGCCCCGAGGATGCGGACGTGGGGGCCCTCGAGGTCTGCTCTGGGCAGCCATGGGGCAGAGGCCTCGGAGGCCCATCCAGGCTGACCGTGAGCGCCCTCCTACGGTCGCCCCAAACACCGGCCACGTTGTCCCAGATGCTGAGAGCTCCTGTCCCCGAGGTAAGGGTGACCTGGGACCAGTGAGCAGCGCCCTGACTCGAGTCCGCGCCACACGTGACCCTCTGCCACCCGAGCAGCGGCTCTAGAGCCCGGAGGACACGCAGCCGGGGTGTCCTGCCACCCCGACACCTTCAGTACAACCCCGACAACACGGAGCAGTTAGTGAGAGCCGACCACAGACGTGCAGCGGGGCCCCTGAGCTGGTGACCGCGGCCGAGCGCGGGGCACTCGTGGAGCCTCCAGCAGGCCCGAACCATCTCCCGTGAAGACCATTTGCTAACGAGATGTGGACGCTGTCCTGTAATGTTTTGGACGCCGTACTGCGAGTGACAGACAGAGCGGCCGCGTGGGGAGAGGCGGTTGCCAGTGCGTCGTCTGCTGACCCTCGTGGCCTCGTGGCTGAGCGCCACGGCCTCTGGCCACGCATCACGAGGGGGGCCGTCTCACATACCCCCAGCCCAAGAAATGACCCACACTCAAAATTCCCAGTATGATTTCTACCGAATGCACGGGACCTTCACGGCACGATGAAGTCAGACCAGTGCGCACGTGACCTCGGGCACAGCAGGCACATGCTCAGAGAGCGACGGCAAATGCTTTCCCACATGGAGAAGGTGACGCCGGGCGGCGGCGCGGTTACGACCCGGCCGGTGGCAACCCTTTCACAATGTAGATGTGAAACGTGTGTGATTTTATTTGTCAATCATTCCTCAACACAAAAGAGCCAGGCAGGCGAGGACACAGCGGGCACCTAAATATGGGTCCGACATTCGCCCAGGAACCGGCCTGTGACCTCAGACAGCTCCAGCACAGAGAGGCAGGATGGGGAGCATCTGCAGAAGCTTCTGGAGCGAGGCAGGCCTGGCAGAGCCTGGAAGGCCTGTCCACCAACCCCGCCCCCCCCTCCAGCCTGCATCCTCACACAGGGCTCTGCCTCTCCTCCCAGACGGAGGTGGCTGTTTCCCAGCCCGGAGGGAATCCCAGCTGGGCCACAGCCTTGCTGTGGCCTCGGGATATTAGACGCAGCAGCCGAGGGAGAAGGGGCGCAGCGGGGCACCGCCTGCAGGGAAGCCCGTCCAGACTGCTGAACCGTGCCTCACTCAGCCGGCTGGACGGAAGGGTCCCGCAGCTCGCCCGCCCGCCCAGCACTTGCCTCCTCCTGCCACGGCCCAGAAGGCACCGCCGCACCCCTCCCGCCCTGCATGCCGGCCTGGCCCGTCAAGCGTCTGGGCGCCTCTCCGGGGAGGGGGCCCGGACCAGGGCACGCCCGCTTCCCGCACCTCTACCCCATCCCGCGGACGCGGCAGGTCGCGTATCCGACAGTAACTCAGAACCTTCAGGAAGCTGCTGTGTACGTGGTGCAGGACTCCGCCTGCTAAGTGCTTCCCACGTGCGAGCCTGAGTCGAAGAACAGGGGCAAATCGGAACTTACCGGGTGTGCAGGGGAGAAAAAGTGCAGGCAGCTTGGGGACAGCGACTCTTGCCGGCAAATTTGGGGGGTAAACCGATTAGCGGGCAGCGAGCAAAGAGGTCAGTGTGAGCGTTCTTGCACTGAACGGCCAGTCAGACGTAGAAAACACCCGATCTATGTTGTTTATGGGGGCGCCTGGGGGGCTCAGTCGGTTAAGCATCTGACTTCGGCTCGGGTCATGATCTCACAGTTCGTGAGTTCGAGCCCCTTGTTGAGCTCTGTGCTGACAGCTGGGAGCCTGGAGCCGGTTTTGGATCCTGTGTCTCCTGCTCTGCCCCTCCCCCGCGCTCACGCGCGCGCGTGTGCGCTCTCTCTCTCTCTCTCAAAAAATAAACATTAAAAAAAATTTCTTTTCGGGGCGCCTGGGTGGCGCAGTCGGTTAAGCGTCCGACTTCAGCCAGGTCACGATCTCGCGGTCCGTGAGTTCGAGCCCCGCGTCAGGCTCTGGGCTGATGGCTCGGAGCCTGGAGCCTGTTTCCGATTCTGTGTCTCCCTCTCTCTCTGCCCCTCCCCCGTTCATGCTCTGTCTCTCTCTGTCCCAAAAATAAATAAAAACGTTGAAAAAAAAATTAAAAAAAAAAA